ATAGCCGGCAGCTGTCACGAAAACACACACATGGTTGATCTGGCGCAATCCAACTAGCAGAGGTGACACCAAACCTCGGAAGTAACAATAAAAGTACGGCATCGTGAAGGTTAATGAAAGACATTCCTAAATTAAACTAATGTCCGGACTCTCTATGATAGCTACCATGATATCCAGGTCCTTACGCTCCAGAAGGCGGATGCTTCCATGGATTGTGTGCAGTTTGCACCACCAGAGGATTTCGTTACCTTCCCAAACGTAACGGAATCCCCTGGTGGTGAATAATTTGGAAACAGGGTTTAATACAAGCCTTTGTCAGGTTCTACTGCACCAGCATACGCCCATAGGATTTGCACATACAACAGGTTGTGTAAGAGCGATGGAGTAGCCTAATAAAAATAAACGCTTTAGAGTAAGAGAAAAATTGTGCAATGCTAGCATGTCGATGGTAGCTGACGAAAGTGAAGGGATTAAGTAAGTTGGACCAGCCGGACCTGGCTTGCAGCAGAGGATTGATGATCACTGATGACCTGCTAGAGTTGAATGCTGCAACGTATCACAACGCTATGCTTGCGGACAGGAAAAATCGGGGAAACGAGCGCTGTTGGGTACAAGACAAAGAAGGCGGAACGGACCACTTAGGACAGGAAATGGGTCTCTGGGAGTTGACCTGCCAGAAGCAAATGAACTTCTGGATTAAAGTTTATGTTTTCCTGAGGGGCGAACTCGTTCAAATGTTTCACAAACGTAGCGCCATGTTGGAAAAAACGGCTTTGTACTGTACACAGATCACGCATCCACAAGGATTCCAAAGGTAAGGGCACGTATCTTCTGTTAAGAGACATCCATGTTATTCTCTATTTGCTACTTAAACAACAGTTCCCTTGAAATGGGCCCAGAACACTGTTCAACAAAGGCCTCGCAAAAAACTCGAAGTACCTGCCTCGTTCAGCAAACTGGAGTGCGAAAACCAAGCTAGAAGATAAGCTTGCCTAAAGTCACTTGAATGTCACAAATGACTCGCCACATTTCTACCTAACGGACTGAATACTGGTGCCCATTAGTGGTCTTAGTGAATCACTTGTGTGACCTTCACTGTAGGCCAAACGTCGATATCACCAAAATACCGAAGAGGCTGACATAAACAGCTAGAAATCAAACGGAGACTGGGTGGATATTGACAAGAGAAGTTCAATTACACATAACATGAGTGAACCACTGGTCTACTCAGACGTCAGATTCATGCCCGAAATGCTAGCGGTTGAAATTCACTCTATACCTTCGATTGTTCTTTCTTGACTTGAGCAATCCCGCAGTGTGCCCGCCCTCATGTTTTCCTCTGGTTACACAAAATTCGTTTTAAAAAAGTGCCATCGCTTGATGCTGGATTAAGAAACGCTGGTTAAATGTTTTATTTGAATGCCTACGCAGTGAGGTAGGCTGAATAAGCTGCATCCACAAAAATTGCTTTTTATCGGTGAAGTGAACTGGTTGTTCATGGGCTGAACTGATTTAGGATCCAGGCTAAACAGCCCTGTGTAGAGCGCCGACAATGGTGTAACTAACGTACGATGGCTAGTAGCAATAAAGTTCTTTCAGTGAAAGATAACTAAAGTGGATGTTGATTAATGGTGTGACCATAATAGGCCAGAATAACATTATCTTCAGTTGTTATCATAGAATTAGAAAAACAACAATTCTGCCGAGGCGTTTACTACAAATTGCGCACATGAAAACTGATATGTTGTGCCGGTACACCTGGCACCAGTCAGGCTCCGATTCGGGGACAATAACAAGCGTATGCGGATTAGTGTCTCGAGTACCGCACCATTCTACAAGATCCCTAACGTTGTGTCCGATTCACCAGTTTACCGAGCAGAATATGAGAATACTTTCAAAGTAAACCCCAGACCGCCGTTAGAGATTGACCATTCTGGTACAAGTCAGCTGGCAGTGCGATGGATCCAAGCGGCAAACAAATTCTAGGGGAAAAGAAATAAACTTATGACGATGGGAGGGAATTGTGGAACACTTATCAGTACACACACTAACAAATGCAATCTGCCGTAGAGAGGAGTTAGAAAGTCGAACTAGGCCAATTTGGACAACCTTAGTACAACAAAAAGCAATTACCAACTACCCCAAAGGCACAGTTCTTTTTCGTAGATGGAAGGTGGCAGTGACGTCACGATTTCAAATCAGTATCCACACAAAGGGCTGTTGTGATGCATTCCTCCTAATCCATTTTTAAAACAACGGTGGCAACTCTTGTTATATGGATGTCATATGCGGTTCAGCACGAAACTTATAGACAACTACATAGAGTGTTCATCCCAGAACGGATATTGACAATAATGAAATAAGTGCATACAAGTTCAATATAAATCCTCATAT